GAGGGAGGGGTGGGGAGGAGGGAGGGGCGGGGAGGAGGGGGTTCCTTTCTGCTAGCCTGAGCTCGGGACCCCTACATAGCCCGTCCCGGGCCTGTGGTCTCTTTTCCAGGGAGGAGGCATTTCCAGGTGCAGACGGTGTGGGGAGCCTGGTACCGCCTCGGGTGAGACCCGGAGTCGGCGTGGGGCTGATGGCTGCGCCCGGAGCTGGGAGAGAGATGACAGTCCGCATCTCTGTGGGATGCTGAGGGGGAAAGCGGGAGCCCCAAGGACACCACTCCATCTCCTGGAACTGACCAGGCCAGCCTGCCAGTGGAAAGCTCTGGAGCTGGGCTCCTGCCTGGAACACACGGTGACACCGCTGCCGTCCAGCGCCGGGGTCCAGCCAGGTTTACAGCTCCAGGCTCACTCCAGGGAGCCACTCCCCCACCAGCCCACCTCCCCCCACCTTGGCACTAGACCAGCCCTCCACCGCGTAGGGGTGTGAAAGAGAGCCTAGCGAGCCCCTGGGCCATGGTAGAAAAATACCTGCTGGTTGCACATTTGCAGCCACTCTGTCAGCAGTGTCTGTGACCCAGGGCCCTCTGGGTGCGCTGTTTCCATGCAGGTCAGCCAGCTCATCAAAGGTGGTTTGTCACAGTCCCAGGATGGGGCTCTGTGATTTGGTGGGGTACTCAGTGGGGTACTCGATGGATGGATAGAATACAAGCCTGTGAGCATCTGTGAAAACCCATGGAGCACGTAGTACAAGACCGCACCAGAATATAGACGTTGGCCTTGATAGTATTTATTGTCAGACCTACACAGTAATGCAGCATGATAATCACAGGACACCTGGTGTGGAAGGCAAAGGTAGGTATTGAGGAATTCTCTCTACCATTTGCTCCGTTTTTCTGTAACATAAAAATATACTATTTTTTTAAACAAAAAATAATCTGGATAAGAACAAGTGCTTGCCTGGAAGGGTTCTTGGAAGAATCTTACAGGGCACTAGGAGGGAGGCCCCTGCTTCCAGGACATAGGATCCTCCTATAGGGTCCCTAAAGCAAGAATTTCCAGATTCCATCTTGCTGAGCCTTTAGCAGCATGGGGTGGGACAGCAGCAGAACTGGTTCTCGGACCTGTCCCTGGGATCCTGCACCCTTCTGGCTCCTGGGAAGGCTGCACATCCTGATACTTGTGGTCCAGCAAAGCCCTTGGCCAAGGAGATGTTCCCACAGATGGGGCTCATGGCCAGTGATGTCAGGCTCCTGGAGAAGAAGGATAAGGTGGGTCTGAGGGTGCCCACCAGCCACTGTGCCCTTCAACTCCAGGATCCTGGTGAAATGACCCTGAATCCACATGGGTCTAGCCAGCCCCAGTCTGAGCTCTCCGGAGGTCCCTGTGAGAAGTTGCTTGAGAATGGAGTCTGAGGATAGCTGAGGAGCCAATTCCCAGGCAGCGTTCCACAGGCTAACCCCGGGAAGGAGTCCCATGGCACCTCTCACCCCACTGCGGGAGACATGAGTTCACAGTGGTCCTCACGACGTTGGCCAAGGGTTGGTGCTCCTTCTCCACCACGGCCCATCAGTTAGAATGCTGTGGCTGGGTGGCAGAATGGAAGAGTTCCATTCTCTCTATCAGGGAATCTGGGGGCAGGATCAGGAACTTTCCCATCTAGTACTTATCTTGCCAGAGTCCCATAACCAGGCTCAGTCCCAAGTGTGTCCTCGCTACCACAGAGGAGGAGGCCCATGTGAGTCTGTGTTGAGGCATGGCTCAGAATGGCCACAGGGCTTTGAGTCAAGTGGGCACTGGATCCTGCATTTGTGCCCTTCTCCATGTTGCCTGAGTCACTTGCCACCCACACCAAACCAGTAAGGTCCATGGCCCAAAGCTGGGGCCAGTCCCTCAGCTCCACACCTTCCTCATCCATCCGTTCACTCAACACTCCTGGACAGAGATCTGCAGCATTTCCCCGTAGGGCTCTGGGTGGACAGTTACTGCTCGGCCCCTACACTCATGCTGCTGGCTCTGTGCACATCTGACAGCCCTATCTAGCGTCTAGCTGCATGTCAAGCTATTACCTCCATGAGCAGATTCACCTGCCACAGTTAGTCCCCTCCTGAAGAGGGTAGGATAATTCCCGCTGCATACCCTGACCTGTGCCCAGCCAAGTCCAAGACAGAGATGTCAAGACATGAACTTCCACATTTAGGGATCAGAGTGGCATCTTCAAGCTGTGGGGGAGGGGGAGGGCAGGGTGTGGGTATGTGTGCCTGTCTGTCTGTCTGATCTGTATGTGTGTCTGAACTGCAGGCTGGCACATTTCATGGGGGCTAAGCCTAGGGAAGTAAACCTCTTGAATACTTTCTGTATACTAGGGTACACATAAGCCCTGTGGGCAGTGGGCAGTAGGGCTCAGATGTCTGGATCCCACAGGCTGTGGGGTTGGGAGTCTATTTCTAAACTTCAGCTACCTACAGAAGAGCAGCTCTCAATTCCCAAGTGATACGGAATTCTCCATATCGAGGTACTACACCTTATTCTCAGATGGGAGTTAGTAATTGGAGATCTCTCAGAGTTCCATCCAGCTATTTCTCCACACTCATGGGTGCTCACATGTCCCCCAACAGCAATGAGACCTTGATTCACAGGCACAGCCCAACAGATGGCAAGTGCTTGTAGGTTCTGTTGTCTTGAGGCTTGAAGGTATACGGACGGCTCTTCTGTTATCCAAAGTGGCAGTCATCTGAAGCTGCTCACTGAGCATCACTGTGTTCCCTTAGGCTTGTCCACAAAAATGCGGAGTTTCTCCCAAATGAGGACAGTAGTTTCCTTCTTCGCATTTTAAAACCATGAGAAGGCCTGCGGGCCGCGGCTCTTGCTTTCCCTTGGCATCCCTGTGAGGACACCCATCCTACTGTCTTGCTCAGCCCTGACCCCCAGTCCTCTGTCACTCCAGTGGTCCCCTTCCAGGCCACTTGTTGACCTTCTCACAGGGACGTGTTTATCAAGACCGTGGTCAGATGATGCACCCAGAGCCAACGCTTGTAATTTAACATTTAGCAACTACAGTAACGTGTAATTATGACATGAAACAGCTCATGGAGGCCCAGCCAGCTTCAACCCAGTAACCTTCAATGTGTAATTCTTCACCTAGCTCCTCCCTAACCTCATTTGCCAGCATGTTTTGCTGTCTGAGTCAGAGAAAAGGGGGAGAGAGTTGCAGCTGGAGCAGCTGACCAAAAAGCTCCTCAAGTCATGAGCCTGAGCCTCAGGCCCTGTCATGGCCCCAGATTAGACTTCAGGCCTACTCTGACCGGCGTGCACCCTTGGAGTGCATACTCTGTGGCATCTCTGTAGTCTGGGCAGTTCAAGTGGTATTATCCCTGTCATCACTGTGGTGTGTGGCCGCTGCTTCACCAATCCCACACTTGGCCCCTTCCTCTTCCTGGCCACTTGGACTCTCTCCAAGCATCTGCCACAATTAAGGAGGGGTAGCGACGGCAGAAGGTGATACCACATGTGCAGGCAGCAGCTTGACATGCAAGTGGACCCTAGATACGGCCTGCCAGGCACACACAGAGGCCAGGACCAGGAGTGCATGGAGGAGTGCTCGGCCATCCGTGCGCCCAGTCCTTGGGCGTCAGGATCACTGCCCTGAACCAGCTGATGACACAATCCAGAGGCCAATGGTAAAGTTCGAAGCTAGAAGGTTCTGCCCTAGCCAGACATGTAGAGAAGTTGAGCGCTGGGGCGGGAACTGAGGATAAGTTCCCTTCCCAAGGATGCTCATGGGCACCTGGCCCTGGAAAAGCTAAGAATATTGGTAAGCAGAGGAAGGCAGCAAGAAGTGAGCCCAGGGAACAGAGCAGGGTGTGGTGAGGCCACTGGAAGACAGAGACTGAGAGCCGAGGTATTTCCAGCTGGCCTGGCAAGACACCAGGCAGGGGTCCAGCTCTCTCATTCCAGTGGAGAAACACAGCCGACGTGTCCAGAAGGAACGAGCTCCCACTCTCCTAGGGAACAGGACTGTCTCCTGCCAGAGGCCCTAGGTGGGTGCCTCAAACATCAGAACCTGGTACGTTCTCATCTCACAGGTAATAAGGGCTGCGGTCGGTGCATTTGCTTGAGTAGACACAGATATTTTCCCCAAGCCACTTAGGGGCTGTGAAGTTTATGACTCTTTGGTCCTAAACACTGGGCAAGAACCGTGTCTACAAGAGTGATGTATCTTGACCTAACGGCGCACACCACAGACAAGGAGCCACACAGAGATGCCACCATCAGTGTGGGGAGGTGTGCTCTGTGGCTCATGTTCTCAGTGTGGGCACTGGGCCATCTGGGAGTCTCCATCTGCTCTTAATCAGCTGATCAGTCCCCAAGGGTTTACAGGGGCATGGGGCCTTATGTCTGGCCTCAGACCATCCTGAACAGGTAGGCAGCGACTGTATCTGTATCCTGGAAGCCAGTGCTGCCGCGATCCACCTGTGGAAGACGGTCCTGGGTCCAGATGGAGGACTAGTGATCACTGCCAGGCAGAAGCCCCTAACTTCCTGCAAGTTTCTAGATACCAGGAAGACTCCTGCCAACCCTAGTCTTCAGTTCTTTTTTTTGGGGGGGGGGGTGGGGTCTGGTCGTGGGGCCTGAGCTCTGGGCCTGGGCGCTGTTCAGCTCAAGGCTAGCGCTCTACCACTTGAGCCACAG